CGCACTTTAATCGATGCAATACTTGTGAGACTAACGTGATTTTAAGAAAGTTCATTTTTTTTGCACACCACTGTATGTTCACAAAGGGGTTGTTTGACTGCGGGGAAGATTTTATCATGTGACTCACTTATTATTATCCATCAGATCAGCTTGCCGTAACACATCCATCTGGGATTACTCTCTCTCTCTCTACTCCTCTCTCTCTCTCTCTACTCCTCTCTCTCTCTCTCTACTCCCTATCTCTCTCTACTCCTCTCTATCTCATTTATAACTTACCTGAATGACAATTGGAACGCATGGTTTTCAAATGCTCAACAATCTTGATTGTATGCTGGAATTATTTATTTCAAGGTAAAACAATCTCCTATATTATTGTATTATTAATTAATGTTATTATTATGTAATTTGATGTTAATGTTCGTTTAATTGTATTTTTAGGAATTATGCTATGGTTATTTATGGAGTTACGGAACGACGGAAACAAAAATATGCCGATAAGGGCGAAAACTACATTCTGTCATTTAATCTCTTAGGAAGGATCCTAAGCCCGTTTGGCCACTTCCCAAAAAGTACTGGGAGCTTTTGTGCCAGGAAAAGGCTAGTTTATGTTGGAATGAGGAGAACCATTTTAACAGAAATTGGTGTGTGATGGCTCTTCGATTTTTGTGGGCCAAACCTTTTACCTTGTTTTTTTAAATATGTACCGAGGAGAACCATTCTACCAATGAATCACCATTGGTGTGTGATAGCTCTTCAATTTTTGTGGGCCAAACCTTTTACCTTGTTTTTTTTTTAAATCTGTACTGAGGAGAACCATTCTACCAATGAATCACCATTGGTGTGTGATAGCTCTTCGATTTTTGTGGGCCAAACCTTTTACCTTGTTTTTTTTTAAATATGTACCGAGGAGAACCATTCTACCAATGAATCACCATTGGTGTGTGATAGCTCTTCAATTTTTATGGGCCAAACCTTTTACCTTGTTTTTTTTTAAAATCTACCAATGAGTCACCATTGTCAGAAATTGGTGTACAGTAGCTCTTCAATACTTGTGGGCCAAACCTTTCACTTTGTTGTTTTTAAATTTGAAGAGAACCATTCTACCAATGAGTCACCATTGGTGTACGGTAGCTCTTCAATATTTGTGGGCCAAACCTTTCACCTTGTTGTTTTTAAATTGTAACTTCATAAATTTTGAACCAAATTTACACATTTGTTTTATTCAAAAGACTCCTTCAATAGTTATGAATTTTTAAAGTTTATATCTACATATATCCAAGATATTCTAGCAGACTTTTTAAAAAAACGTACCAACGGTAGTGCTTTAAAGTAAATAAAAGAAAACGTTATTTGTTATGTCCGACAATTAACAAAAAAGTTTCCGTGGAGCATAAATTTGTCGATTCCAAAATATGTGCTCATATAATAATAAATGTAAGACAAAAACTTAATAGTTTAATTACAATGGCAAGGTTTTCACTGTAGGGTTTAAAAAAATTTTCGTTTCTCTATTCTTGTTGACAGATTTTTCTTGCAGTCCTTACTTACTGTCCTTTTTCGCCAAAGGCAAAAAGCAACCCCGCCAAGGTCCAGCCGAACCCCAAGACGCAGGAATGATGATCGAACTAAAGTCTAATAAGTAAAGCTTACGCTTAACTCGCAAGACATCGAGCACAGTCGTCTTTCGGTCGATTACGTCAACATGATCTTTGTCTTCAGCGACAGTTAAAGGGTACGTATTGTTTTTAATAACTAATTGCCTTAACATGATTACCACTCTTCATTCCCACCGTTATCTAACGAGATTTATCGAACCTTTCCCCAATACCCTTTCTATATCTCGTTCCAAATCCCACTCGTCTTCTAACCTACCAAGCTGTTGTAATTCTCCTTCATATACTTCCCAGTGCCTGGTACAGCATCACAACAGCCGAGCTATCGACTCCGTGCAGCAAGAATGGGCTAACCTCGATGTAGTCGAATGTATATTTCTCAAAAAACTCATCTCTGCCAAGTACGAGAAGGATACGGTGTGCCCGATCACCGATCAAAGTTCAGACTCGGCGGGCAGCAACCTTTCCCATTTTGCCTGATTACACGAAGGACATGACAAGTTCGGTGTAGGAAATGAGAGAACTTCTGCTCCTATTCATAATAATTTTTGCACCAATAATCATTCTTTGGGCTACAATTGTGTAGAGCTCGATTTTTTCCCTTCCAAGCCGTCCGTTCGTCTTAATCCAACAATCTTCTAGACTTCCTAGATCGTAGTTACATCGTTGGTCTTCCTCGGTCCCATATGTTGATTAGATGTTAGTCAATCTAGTATAGTATTACTGCATTGTTGTTCGCGTGTTAAAGCGTCGGATATTGTTAAATTGCTTTGGTGGATGATGGCGAAGAAAGGATCAGAGAAAGCTCGAGAGACATAATAGAGATAAAAGGAATTACTTTTTAGTATTTACTTCATCTTCCAATCGTATTGTTCTCATAGTTGCGTAAATTATGTGCATGTTGACTGACTGGTTTCTTAATAGTACTCCTTGAGCAGTGAAACGTCCAAAAATTGTTGTTCCTGGGGATGAGGCCGCTGCAGGGTCGTAATTGTGACGGCAGCAATATATTACTGTGCTATAACATTATTCCTGGTAATCTAAATTTGTCCAATATCCTTTTTGTATCGCGTCGTCGTATATGGAGCCATAGATTGTTTTGTGGCTGTTGTATGTGGCATTTGCATTGTCATGGCAATTGTGCTGTTGTGCGTAGCGGCGATAGCTTGTCGTCAGCGGCTATGCAAATGAAAAACAAGACCAACAACAAGTTAGCTATTGATCCGCACACGGATGCTTCTATATACTAATCGCTCATTACCCTACCATTCCCTTTACCATATCCATTTCTAATATACTCCCTATTAACCTACCAATACAGCGGCTCCAATATTTGCAATGTCTGTCAAATTGACTTGAAGAGGGCGGTGATTATATCTCCGCACTCTTCCACTAGTACTAGTCAACTTTTCTGTCGCAATAAAGAGATTTTTATTATAAATAACGATAAAGTTTAAGATTTAAGATTTAATTCGAGACATACATAATACACACAGCTGTACTGTATGATATCCATGGGTTATGCGAGAGCCAATCACATTTCAAGAAATTTACCACAGATTATTCTAGAATCGATATCCATTTTTGGTAAAATCCCTGGAGTTAGCGTTAGATATCATTAGTTGAATTATCATGTGCCTCATGCCAAGGATGCAAAACGCGTATCCATTTGCCGCGAGTCTTATGGAAACTGTTAGAACTTATCGGCAGACAATCGATAAAGTCAAGCAATATGAGAAAGAAATCGCTATCCTCGTGACCAGTTATAGACTGAAGTGCAAGCCAAAATCGCTACCGGTATCACTTATAAATGGGACTACTTTGTCAACACATGCGATCCTCATTA